GGAAGGACCATTTTGGTACCAAAAATGAAAGTCTAAGGATAATTTTGGTACTTTTTAAAGGTGAGGGACAATTTTGGTGCCAAAGTGAAAAGTTGAGGGACCAAAATGTTACTTAAACCTTTTTTTTATAAATGCATTTAATTTGAATGGTAAAATATATTTTTGGATTATTTGGTAATATTATGTAATTATTAAATAAAGTAAATCTGTTTTCTGTATCTCAAGACGAACAATTGTCTTACATGATATACGGATCGATACCGGTCCGTATATACGGACCGAAGACGGTCCGTATATTACCTAAACTGCAGCTTTTTCATTTTTTTTTTCCTACGTTATATTTTATGAATTTTAAAATTTTTCATGTATAATATAATTAAACTTTTACATATTTTAAGTCATTATTCTAAACATATTTTATTTTTTTTATAAAATGCATTTAATTTGAATGATAAAATATATTTTTGCATTATTTGGTAATATTATGTAATTATTAAATAAAGTAAATCTGTTTTCTTTATCTAAAGGTGGATATTTGTCTTACATGATATACGGACCGATCCCGGTCCGTATATATGTATACGGACCGATATCGGTCCGTATATAGATATACAGACCGAAGACGGTCCGTATATTCCCTAAACTGCAGTTTTTTCATTTTTTTTTCCTACATTATATTTCGTGAATTTTAAAATTTTTCATGTATAATATAATTAAACTTTTACATATTTTAAGTCATTATTTTAAGTAATTATTCTAAACATATTTTATTTTTTTTATAAAATGCATTTAATTTGAATGGTAAAATATATTTTTGCATTATTTGGTAATATTATGTAATTATTAAATAAAGTAAATCTGTTTTCTCTATCTTCAATGGATTTTTTTTACATGATATACGGATCGATCCCGATCCGTATATTCATATACGGACCGGCATCGGTCCGTATATTCCCTAAACTGCAGCTTTTTCTTTTTTTTTTCCTACGTTATATTTCGTGAATTTTAAAATTTTTCATATATAATATAATTAAACTTTTACATATTTTAAGTTATTATTTTAAGTAATTATTCTAAACATATTTTATTTTTTTATAAATGCATTTAATTTGAATGGTAAAATATATTTTTGCATTATTTGGTAATATTATGTAATTATTAAATAAAGTAAAGATTTGTCTTACATGATATACAGATCGATCCCGGTCCGTATATATGTATACGGACTGGTATCGGTCCGTATATAGATATACAGACCGAAGTTGGTCCGTATATTACCTCACCAGCAGCTTCCCCTCCCCCTGGGTTACATTTCCGGTATATACTGCTTTATATTCGGACCGATACTGGTCTGTATATATATATATATACAGACCGGGATCGGTTCGTATATGCCCCTGAACAACAGCTTTTTATTTTATTTTTTATTTCATTATTAAATCGTTCTACTCTCGTTTAAAACCGTAACATTCCAAATGTTTGCAAACCAAAGTGGTTAACCTAAATAAAAATAATTAATTTTATTTGCTTATGGCTCTGAAAGAGCATTACATAACATTATCTCTAATAACCTTTAACTTATACGTTCGTGGTTTTGCAACGATATTACTCCGTAGTATCGTAAGATAATTTCAGCTAGACAATCGATGGTTTTGTGGTTCCAAGGGATTGTAGGGTCGATGTACATGCAATTGGTTTTCGCAGGAATGGATTTAGAACACGAGAAGATGGTAATGTCCTTAAATGAAAGGAATAAAAATGTGCACTGTAAGAAGTTTCTGGATTTTTTCTACTATATTCGGACCAAAATCGGTCTGAAAAATGAAAAGCATGGAAGCTTCTGGTTTCTTTGCATATATTCAGACCAATACCGGTCCGTATATATTCATACTTAATTTAATTTAGCTTTAAGATAAAAAATCCCACGGATTGCCTATATTCTAACTGATACCGGTCCGAATATCTATATACAGACCGGGATCAGTCCGTATATTCCAATGAACAACAGCTTTTATTTTTTTATGTTATTTCATGCTTAAGTCGTTTTACTCTTGTTTTAAACCGTAACATTCCGTATGTTTGCAAGCCAAAGTGGTTAATCTTAAGAAAAAAAATGAATTTTATTTGCTTATTACTCCGAAAGAGTATTACGTAACATTATCTCTAATAACCTTTAAATTATACGTTCGTGGTTTTGCAACGATATTACTTCGTAGTATCGTAAGATAATTTCAGCTAGACAATCGATGGTTTTGTGATTCCAAGGGACTGTAGGGTCGATATACATGCAATTGGTTTTCGCAGGAATGGATTTAGAACACGAGAAGATGGTAATGTCCTTAAATGAAAAGAATAAAAATGTGCAATGGAAGATTTTTTACGAATATATTTGGACCGAAATCGGTCCGTAATTAATTTATACGCCAAATTTTTACCGTTAATTTGAATCTTATTGATTCTGCGCGAATTTATTTATATTCAGACCGATTTTGGTCTGAATATGATTAATGCACCAAAAATTTTCCCAAAAAAATTGAAATTTTTTCGAAAAAATTGAAATTTTTTGGTGCGGCGCGCCAATGAGGATTATACGGACCGATTTCGGTCCGTATAAGTCTTATATATATCACCACTTCTCTTCCGTTTCCTCATTTTCTCTTCTTCCTCTCTTTCTTTTCCTTTCTTCCTCTCTTTCTGCCTCCCGTCTCCTTCTT